GAAATGTGTGTGATTTGGGTTTGGTCTACAAAGACTGTGTTTGAGATAGACTTGAAAACTGTCTTTGCAGGTGCTGGAAATTTCCTGACAAATTTTCCCGGGAGGTTGGAGGACAAAAATAGAGTGGAGGGAGAACAAAGAGCTCACTAATTTGGATTTTTTTTTTCTTGTGCCATTATGGCTTTTTGGGAAACTAAGAGAGAGAGAGTCTGATTTCTCTGTACAACTGTCGCCATCTCTGACTCTTTAAAATTAGAGAACGGAAAAGTCTCCTGGTGGGCTATGATGGCAAAAGTTTGTGGGGGGCAGAAACCACACCTCACTTCTGGAATCCACCTTCAGCTCTTGGGCAAGTTCGAAGCTGAAGCCTTTATAAGTCACTATCTCCTCCGCAGGAGCCTCCTGAGAAAACCCCGGAAGGAGGAGACGCAGCTAAGGTCCTAAGGATCATCCTTCTACTCAACCGACAGGAGGTCCTTTGAAATTCCTCCAGGACTCCAGTTCTCAGCCAAGGGAAAAGAATAGGGTGTGTGGGTGTGGGACAGCAAGAACGGGGCGAGAGCACCAAGTTGGGGTGCAGTAGGAAAGTGAAGATTGAAGGGTACTCTGTGACTCCAGGAAAGTTTTTCCGAATAGCCAGGCTTTGTCTCCAAAGAAAGTCTTTTCCAATCACTCTGGGGGTCCTGCCCACCCCACCCCCCAGGTGGGGAGAGGCTGGCTGTCCCATTTTTGCTAGGGTCGGGGGTGAAGCAGGGGGCTTTAGGGTTCAGTTTGATATTTCCTTTAACTTTGGGATCTTTGGAAGAAAAAAAATGCAGGAAAAAAGATAGAAGATGTTTAGAGGAAAAGAGACAATTCTGGCCATGCAGAGCCCTGGTTCTGAGCAGGGTCTACCTAGACAAAAGAGGTGCCAGGTTTATTTAGACTGGCTGGCAAGCCTCAGGGGTTCTGCTTCCCCAGTGCTGTGAATGCAAACTCCCACAGGCACACCTGGCTTTTTACGTGGGATCTCTGACCAGGTCCTCATGCTTCCATCTTCCCAGCACCCAGTATTATTTTTAAAAAGCCCCCACGGTGAGCATGCTAATTTATAACCAGAGTGACATTCAACTTTTTGGTCCTGTTATTGGACTTAGTTATTCCAAATGGAAAAAAAAAATGCTGCAATGTAGCCAAATAACTGTCTGAATTAATATAAATTCGGTTGGTTGAATTAGCATAAACTTCATTCTTGAACTAGCTCAGAGAGTAAAGGGATTGTTGCAAAAACCTAGCAAGTTCAGTTGGATCTCCCAAACCCATATGGCTGAAGAAGAAACCCACATAAATAAATACATCTACGTTTTTTAATAAGTCTTTTTGTTGTTGTTGTTGTTGTTTGAGACAGGGTTTCTCTGTATAGCCTTGGCTGCCCTGAACTCTCTTTGTAGAACAGGCTGGCCTTGAACTCACAGTGATCCCCCTGCTTTGGCCTCCTTGAATGTTAAAAAAATTTTTTTATGTGTTTATGTTTTGTTTTGTTTTTTTTTTTTCCAAGACAGAGTTTCTCTGTGTGTCCCTGGCTATCCTGGAACTCTCTCTCTCTCTCTCTCTCTCTCTCTCTCTCTCTCTCTGTAGACAGGCTGGCCTTGAACTCACTGAAATTAGCCTGCTGGGATTAAAGATAAGGTGTGCACCATCACTGTTTAGGAAGGAAGGAAGGGAGAGAGAGAGAGAGCGCGCGCTAGAGAGATGGCTCAGAGGTTAAGAACATGGCTGTTCTTCCTAAAGGTCCTGAGTTCAATTCCCAGCAACCACATGGTGGCTCATAGCCATCTGTAGTGAGATCTGGTGCACAGGCACACATTCAGACAGAATGCTGTATAAATGATAAATAAACAAATCTTTCTAAGAAAGAAAGAGACTTTGAAAACGGCGGGGGGGGGGGAGCCCCTGGGGGAGCCCCTGGGCTAAAGCCAGGAAAAGAGCTGGCCTTTCTGAAAGGGCAGAGTTTACCATCCCCACCCTAGAGACCCAGCTGCTCCTCCGGGAGGATGGGAGGATGCTGCCTCCCCACAGTCCACATTGGGCGGAACCTGTCTTCAAGGATCTCTTCAGCAGCCTTCCCCTTTTTCCACGGAAGGGGATCTTGGGAAGAATCTACCTAGGGGTGGAGCAGTGTGGATAGGTGGTAGCAGATTGGCTGCTTGAGCCGAAGAGCTAGCTTCCCTTACCCCCTCTCTCTTTCTCCCTCTGCCTCCATACCTTCCTTCCTTCTTCCCTTCCTCCCTCCTTTCCTCTCTGTCTCTTTTTGGTTTTTTTTTTTTTTAATTTTTCTTTTTCTTTTCCTTTTGGATTTTTGAGAGACAGGGTTTCTCTGTGTAGCCTTGACTGTCCTGGACTCGCTCCGTAGACCAGGCTAGCCTCAAACTCACAGAGATCCACCTGCCCCTGCCTCCCAAGGGCTGAGATTAAAGACTTGCTCCATCACCCGCCCAGCAACTTCCTGTCTTTTTAAAAGGTTTATCTTTTATTTATTTGAACTGGGTTTGCAAATGTCCTCAAAGACCTAAAGAAGTGTCAAATCCTTTCTCTCTCCCCCACCCCCAGTGACAGGTGGTTGTGAGCTGCCTGTGTGGGTGCTGGGATTAGAACTCCCATCCTCTGAGGCATCCCTCCGTCCCGGTCTTTGAACCTGAGGCCTTGACCACCACAGATTTTCATCTACACTCCAGTATGAAAAACCATGATGGTGTTCCTCACCAACCAGTCTTTGTCTCTGTGCAGGCACTGTCCCGCGAGTCCAAGCCCAGCTAGCTGTACGCAAGGTCAAAAGAAACAAAAGGAAATGCAATACTTGAAATTAAAAAAAAAAAAAAAAAACGAAATTTGGTTGTTCAGCCTGGGTGGACAGCCCAGTCCCCTGCCAGACTCAGGGATGGGCTGAGGAGGGTTTTAAGCTCCTTTCTGAAATCATTGTTGACATCCTCTGACACCAATTTCCCCTTTCTCTCTTTTTAGCTTTTACTGTTTCCTGGCGCTCTCCTGCCGCTCATCCACGTGGGGAAAGCCAAAGTTGTGGCGGGGAGGAGGGCGAAGAGGTATTTAGGATGGATGCTACACAAAGTTTACCCTGAGCCAGAAGCCTGAGGTGCTGTCGTGGAGTCCCCGCAGACCGGGGAGAGAGAGAGACATCCCGTTCGGCCCCCTTAGCCTAGGGGTCGGAGAAAGGACAGGCAGAGCAGCCTAGAAAGGCAAAGAAGTTAACGATGTTTGGCCGTCTGGGGGCTTATCAGCGCCGCTGGGGTCAGGCGGCGGCCGAGGCGACGCGAGCGGAGGCAGACGCCTGCCGGGGTTGGGACTGCACAGGTGAGGAGGGGCTGCCCGTCACCCCCACTGACCCTGGCGGCGGCCGCCCGGACTTGGGGCTGGAGCCCGCAGGTGAAAGGGAAGAGGGTGGCTGGTGAATGATTAACCCTTTCCGGGTCAGGAAGATGGGGGAGGGCGCTTGCCGAACAACACAGGAAGCAGGGCCGAGTCTCTCCTTCGGCTTTCATCCCCGAATTCACTTCTAAACCCTTAAGGACCCGGTCTAGGCCCAACCGCCAGAGCGAAGAGAGAGAGAGAGAGAGAGAGAGAGAGAGAGAGAGAGAGAGAGAGAGGCTCGGGTTGGGGACAGAAGGGATGGGTAAGGGAGCTCTCTTTTACTGGGGGCAGGGAATGCCTCAGGCAGGTTCACACAAGCCGGAAAGAGAATTATCCCCGGGGTGGAGGACCTTCTGGGACACCCCTCCTATCAAGGCAACCCTGAGCGGTGGGTGACATGGGCCCAGGGCGGTGTGAGGAAAGCTCAGGGTCCCCTGGAGCCTGCCCACTGTGTACTGCAGCAGCGGGCGTTAGCAGGCGTTGTCTTCGGTAGGAAGGGCCTAAGGCCTTAGGCTGGCTGAAGTGAGGGTGGGTTTGCGCACAGGACGTTTCCTGGCAGGGTTGCGTTTCCAGACCTCCATCCCCACCCTCCACCGTGGAGTTTGGCGCGGGTGTCTCCCAGCGGTGAATCAGGCTTCTGACCTCAGCAGCCATCCAGGGCCTCGTGCTGCAGGGTAAACATCCTTTATACTTTGTGGAAAACTGGTGGGGCAAGAAAGTCCAGGGGGTGACAAGAAGGAGGGAGAGAAAGATCTAAGTTCTAAGAGGACCAGAAATTCTCTGATGTTGTCAGTGGCCTTCCGGGGAGCCGGCACTGCTGCCCCACTTGAAGCAGAAAATAGAGCCTTGGGGTGGGTGGTTGCTTGCCTCAGCTACAGAACTAGAGGAAGAATGGTGAGGAGGTCGAGGGAGTGATAGGAAGGGCAGGCAGATTCCCTTCCTGTTAAGAAGGGTCAGCTTTGCTTTCCCCAGGACAAGACTGGAGAGCGTCACTCTCAGAAAGGGACGCAGGAAACCCAAAGACAAGGGTGGCTGTGGCCGGTCCCAGTGTGGGAGATGGTGTGGAGGCCTGAATGACTCCTATCTCCTCTCCATTCTTGGCTAGCAGCAGGGAGAAGCCGAGGTCAAATTAAACCCAGTGTGGAGCCCAGGCCCACGTCTCCCCCAGTCGCAGGCCCCGGCAAGAATTTTCACACACAAACACACACCTCTCAGCATCTCTTGCACACGCAAGGTCAGTGTTGATGCTGGAGCCAAATTCATTGTTAATGTGGCTAACACACAGCCCAGCCCAGAACATCCTGACTCAGAGAAGTGTGCCCGGGCCTTGGCTTTTCTCTAAGACTTTGCCAAGGTTCCGACTGCTTGCGGTCTGGGTCTGTCGGCAGAGACCGCGGCGGCTTCTTGCTCTCCACCTGGTTCCAAACAAGCCAGAGGAGAGAGCGAAAAGGGAGCGACCAGAGAAGCCCAGAAGTCTCCTGAGCAAAAGGAGAGGAGGGGGAAGGTGTCCATTCCCTCCGGGCTGCCGGTCCGGCTGTAGCCCTACCCGATGGGAGAGTCAGCTGCTCCGGAGCCGCGGTGGATGGAATCGCAGCTCAGTTAAGCGGCTGAAACCGGTCCATCAGCAGCCTGGCTTCAAGGCCCTCCTTGGCCACTCGGCAGGAAAGGCAGGATTGGGGACGTAAGGAGACCTCCCTTGGAGCTCTCGGCCGATCTGGTTGGGGAAATTTGTAAACTGGAGTAACTGGGAAGACGGAGTCTCGGCGGGGCTGAGGTGACCGCGCTGGAGCTCGCCGCCTGGTCCCCGGGTGAAAGCAGTCCCGAGTGTGAGCACAAAACACAGAACTCGTCCCACTGGGGCCTGGAGTCACCGCCAAATTCATTCTAGTCGCCGCTCGCTGGTTTGCGCCGGTGCCTTCCGTAGATGGCAGCGGCGTCCCCGGGTTCACGTCCTCAGGTTTGGGGGACAGCGCAGAAAGGCCAGTTCCTACGCTTTGCCAAGGGGGAAGCAGCGGGCGGAGGTGCGAGAGGAGTCTGGAAACAGGCGATCCAGCCCAGCCCTGACTGTTTCTTTCCAGGGGAATCCACCTTCTTCCCCTTCCCTTCTGGATCCTCCTTCCACCCCGCTGGGGCGAAGGCCTGGCTTTGCTGGGAACCCTCTAGGCCTGCGCTGCGCTGCAGAGCCAGGGGAGCGGAGGCAGGAGGCCCTCAGGGACTCCGCAGGCTGACCTGGGCAGGGTCGGGAATGGCTGCTGCTAGGACCTAGGACCTGGGGTCGCTGGCAACAATCCTGAGCAAATCCAATTCTGAACAAATCCGCCTGAAGGAGCCTTTCCTTACCTCCTTCCCTAACAGCGGCTCACAGGCCTCCCTCTCCCTAACAGGCAAGGCTCCAGCTATCCCCTAACCCTCCCCTGCAAAGACGGGGGAAGAGATCCTATCCAACCGCAACCACACCCACAGGGTCCTCGGTCCAGGGTACCTTAAGAGGTTGGCATTTTCTGCCCATTTCTCTAAAGGCAAATAATTAGAAAATCTGCCAAGAAAATGAAGACTCAGAAGAAAGGAGCACCAGACCTCTTTTTCATCCCTCCCACCCCCATAGGAACCAGCCTTTCATTAGATATGAATATCGCTACTGTGCTTCTCTCCACGAAACAGAAATCTCCAACCAGGCAGCTTTTCATAGGTTAGGTACATTGGGCCCCAGAGACGTCAAAAAGGCTGCAGGTCATAAGCGGTCCATTCAGACTCTGCCCAAACAGAATCAAATGGTGTCTCAAGCTCCACAGGTCGCGATTCAGATCCTTCACATTTAAATAAGCGCAGGAAAATACTGCAGAAATACCCAAATAAATACACAAAAAAGCATATTTTCCTCCCTAGGATTTTGTGTTGATGGGTGTCTTAGACAAAGGGGGAGGGGCTAGCAATTAGCTGTTGGTTTTAAAAAGCTAAGTAACTGCTCCCTTTCTGTTTTCACTTCTCAGCTACTAAATAAACGGAGAGAGGGAAAGATTACAAAACATTGATGCTTAGAATGTTGAGGCTTAAAAGCCAGGTATGACACACGCTTTTTAATCCCAGCACTTGGGAGGCAGAGGCAGGAGGATTTCTATGAGTTCGAGGCCAGCCTGGTCTCCAGAATGGCTACATAGAGAAGCCCTGTCTTAAAAAAAATTTTTTTAAAAAAGACCTATGAAGGGATTATGGGAATTGACATGGAATTTGGGGTGGAGACAAGGGTGGAGTGGAGGAGAAATGAAATGCAGTACACACTGAGACTGAAGCCTAGCTCTGTGACCTTGCTGACCCCAGCCTCAGTTTCCACCTCTGTGGCATGGGAAGAATAACGTGCTCCCAGGATTGCTGGGAAGAGCGCAAGGAAGCAGCCTGAGCCATTTTGTCCTCCCCAGTCTTTCTTCCAAGCCAGCGTTCCCTAAGGCAACTAGGTGTTCTGACCTGTGAGCTCAGCTGGCTCAGCCTCTTCCCCTGCCACATCCAAGGGGAAATGACAGCGCTGAGCCTATCTCAGTCCTTGTTTGCTTTGGCCACGTTGGGATGGTCTCGCTGGCTTTGCCAACAGGATTTTGGTGTTTGCTGTCCCGCCTGGCATGGCTGCCGGGGCAGCTGGCGTTCTGCTTCTGGTAAATCATGCTGGCTAACACTGCTCAGGCAGATGGAGTCTGTCTCCAGGCTGCTGCCCATTTCCAGACGCATCGGGCCCCTCTCTCAGGTGGATGGATCCCATCGGACTGTCACCACCAGCAGGCGGCTAGGTTTCTGAAAGTAGGGCGCTGTACCCACAGCCCAGTGTTTCCCTTTTAAAGCAGCTGCCCAGAAGGTAGAGACCCAAGGACTCAAAGGCACCAGGAAGTAAATCCAGGAACAGAAATGAGCCAAAGAGATGAGGGAATGCTTTGCTTTCCAACGCGTCTTTATATTTTTTTTTGGGGGGGGAGGGGAGGTACTCATTGTTATTGGACAGATACTGAGGAGCGAGGAGGAGGCAAGCGAGCCCCCCACTCCTTCCGTGAAGGCCATGGTGGACCAGTCAGAGCGCGTGGATTGATAGCAGGCTGGAGGGAACGTGGTTAGCAGGTGCCCGACCAGATGGGAAGAATTTGTACTTACAATAATCTCATCCCCTCCCACTCCAAGGCAACTGCTAGGGTACCCGGCCGCCTCCATCCAGAACGCACAGTGTGCTCACAAGAGATGTGAAGCACCCTTCACAGGGCACCCCGCCTCTGGCTTTCCCGGGCTGCTAGTTAATAACTTAAGAGTCGTCAAGGCCTTCATGGCCTTCCTAACAATTTGCAAAACACCTTTTATTGCTTTTATTTTAGATTCCTTGCGTTGAAATACCACTGTGTGCTGTAATTAGGTTAAGTGACACGCCAGCTGTAAAGACAAGGGTTGTGAATAATTACATTTGGCGCATGTAATCATCCAGCTTGGGGTGGGGGGTGGGGCTGAAACCTCGGCCAGTCTGCCTGCCTTACACTCCTGGTCAGGATGGAAGGAAAACTGGAATCAGCAGTCAACCTTTTAAGGCTAGCAAGAGTCACCCAGCCTGAAGGGAATAGGGACGATCCAGGGTTGGCGTGAGCCAAAGGATTCCTAAAACTGCTCATTGGTCAGAACGCGCTGGGGAGGGATGTTTACTATTGATGAGCTAGGGAATGAGCCTGGGGCTCCATTCATACCAAGTACCCATTACTACCAGGGAGCAATACTGCATGCCCCTGTGCGTGTGTGCGTGTGTGTGCGTGTGTGTGCGTGTGTGTGTGTGTGTGTGTGTGTGTGTGTGTGTGTGTGTGTTATACCTGTGAGCTCATGGGAGTCTTCCTTAATCTCTCTCCTGTCACTTCCCCCACTCTCTCTGCCTTATTCCCTAGAGAAAGGGACTCTCTCTGAACCAGAAGCTAGCCACCATTTTGGCTTGGCCGGCTGACCAATCAGCTCTCAGGATTCGAGTGTTCCTGCCCGCTGAAAGTTGGGATTACAGACATGAGCAGCCATGCCTAGCTTTTTGTGTGGATTTTGATCTTCATTCTTGTACAGCAAGCACGATTGCCGTCCATCTCCCCAGCCCCTGGGACAGTTTTTGAAAATTTTTTTCTTTATTATTATTTATTACAATTTATTCACTTTGTATCTTAGCTGTAGCCCCCTCCCTCATCTCCTCCCAGCCCCACCTCCCTCCCTCTTCTCCCCCTATGTCCCTCTTCCAGTCCACTGATAGGGGAGGTCCTCCTCCCCTCCTACCTGACCCTAGTCTCATCAGAACTATCTGAATCCTCTTTCTCTGTGGCCTAGGGGGAGGTGATCAAAGAACCAGCCAATAAGTCCATGTCAGAGACAGCTCCTGCTCCCCTTACTAGGAAACCCACATGGAGACTGAGCTGCCCATGGGCTATATCTGAGCAGGGGGTCTAGGTCCTCTCCATGCTTGGTCCTTGGTTGATTCATCAGTCTCTGCAGGACCCCTGAGCCCAGATTTTTTGTTTCTGTTGCTCTCCTTGTGAAGCTCCTATCCTCTCCAGGTCTTTCTATCTCCCCCTTCTTCCATAATATTCCCTGCACTCTGCCCAAAGTTTGGCTATGAGTCTCAGCATCTGCTTAGATACCCTGATGGGTAGAATCTTTCAGAGGCCCTCTGTGAACAATGTTCAACCATACAAGGAGGACATTTGTTCAACTATGTTCATAGCAGCTTTATTCATAATAGCCAGAATCTGGAAATAACACAGATGTCCCTCAACGGAAGAATGGATACAGAAATTGTGGTGCATTTACACAATGGAATATTACTCAGCTCTTAAAAACAAGGAAATTATGAAATTGGCAGGCAAATAGATGGAACTAGAAAAGATCATCCTGAGTGAGGTATTCCCAGAAACAGAAAGACACGCTTGGTATATACTCACTTATAAATGGATATGAGCCATATAATATCGGATAAACATACTAAAATCGATAGTCCTAAAGAAGCTACACAACAAAGAGAACCCTAGGGAAGAGGCTTAATCCTCATTCGGAAGAGCAAACAGGATAGAGACACTGGAAGCAGAAGATAGGGACCAGGACAGAAGCCTAGGACAGCTTTTAAAGCTCCAACAAACTTCTCTCTCAACCAAACAGACTCCTTCAGTCTAGGGAGAGGCACATACATGAACTGTCCAGGTCTTCTTCTGTGTGTGATAGTGAGGACGGAACCCAGGAGCTCTTCCATGCTAAGCAGGTGCTCTAACATTGAGCAAAGACACGCCCCGCCTTACCCAGAGAAGGCCTTCCTTTTATTAGCGTTCGGCCTAAGTGTATCTGTACCCCATACATCCAGTGCCTGGGGAGGCCAGAGGAGGTCAGTGGATAGCCTGGAACCGGATTCACAGACGGTTGCCAACGGCCACCTGGGCACTGGGAACATAATCCAGGTCTCGCGCAACAGTGGCTAAGCCTGCCCAGCCACTGAGTGTCTCTCGGGGCCCTGCATTTGGGTCTGTGTGAGGATATGTGTGCGCGCGTGTGGGCGCTACGGCGCGTGTCCATCAGAGGACAACCTACGGGGGTCGGTTCTCTCTACCATCACCCGAGACTTTCCAGGGCTGCTGGCCAGTGCCTTTTCCCACGGAGCCATCCGGTCACTCACAGCTCGCAGGATGGGTGCTTTTTAAACATTTGCTTTAGAGACATGGCTTTTGTTCTTGGGCCCTCTCTGTCAGGATTGCTCTTTTTAGCCCCGCCAGGCGGCAGGGATGCGGTCACGTGGTTTCTGTATGAAGAGGATGAGCTGACCCGTGTGGTTCCCTTTTCCTTTTCCGTCCCCACACCCAGCTGCTGGGTGCCTGCTCACTTGCCGTTCCTTTATCGTCTGCTTCTCTGAGGTACGCCTGCCTCCCCCTCAACAGCCTTTTAGACGTGGGAAAGGGTTGCAGGCAGGACTATGAAGTTTCCAGCATCCTGCCTCTTCGAACCCATCAGTTCTA